GAATTTGGATGCAAGGCACGGTCCGTCCGGTCTCCAGGATCTTAAAAGATCTTTTTTGGGTGGGGGGGTGGGGGCGCTCGGGCGTCAGCAAAACCAAAACATCCATCATGATCGGCGGCTTGAGAGCGAGAAAAGCGATAAGCTTTCACCCATCTCATCATTCACTTCAGCATACCCACAGCACGTACGGCTTTTACCTTTTTAGAAGAGTTGATCATGGCCATGACCATGGCCGCGGGGGCGATTGTTTCTCCTCACCCAAGAGACGAGACGGCAGGCCATGTTCCACGTTTCAAATGCTCGAGATGGCCGCCCCATTGGCCTTGGCCGAAACTCGTTGACCTTTTCCTCGACAAGGAAAGCTCAGAACGCAACCAGCTGCTGAAAACCGACGAAGTCTACCATCTGACCATCCGAACACAATCGCCAAGAGGCTTAGCAGGTTATTGTAGGTCTGGGGCGTTCAGATCAGCGGCACAGCGACATGAAGCTGAATAAACACCACTTACACAGTAAATGCCATCAGCAAGAAAGAGCAAGATAAAAATCGTAAGCCAAAAGTGCAACCAACATAACCTACCAACTAGTTGCACCCACAGTAACGTTGTTTGAAGCGCTAGAGACATCTCCCATTGCCGTCCCCGAAATTGGGCCTCATCGCTTTCAGCTAACCCGGCCTTGTGGCTCGCAACCCGAACGCCAGGCATGTCCTCCGGACGACGCAGCCCACCATCATAGCCATCTGAGTGAGAAATCCGTAGTGTTGCCGTTGTTTCGGGCTTGGTACGACACTTCCGGTTGAGAGTAGTCTAGGAATTCAGACTGCCGCTTTTCCGGCGATGGCTATGGCCCCCAGACTAGACGATATATAAATCTTGACGATGTCTCCAAGTCCAGCATCTCGAGCATCACATTCACCATCAAGCCTATCTCCTGCCTTGACTTGTTTCTTCCTTCAAACCCCCGCCCTCAGACCACCAAGTAACCGCCATTGTTCTCTTGGAGAGATATCATCACCTCCTTTTCAGCCTCATATTCGAATCAACTCTCCAATCCCAGAAGCGGCCACTACCTTTCTTCACTTTTTTTACACTGCCATTATACCTACTACTTAACACATCAGCAGTAAAACATGGTGGCTCTCAACCCCTTGTTATTATTCGGGCTTGCTGGCTTCTCCGGCTTCAACGTCGACAAGCTCATCTCCTTTGACGGCGAGGCCGGCCAGGCCATTGACACCGCTGAATGGAATGTCATAACCAAGTATGTACATACAACCCTCCAGTTCCCCCCCTTTACAAGCCCGACCCATCACCACACAACCACTAACCACCCCCTCCCCCCACCCAGCGTCCGCTACAACAACGAAGTCCAAGACTACACCACCTCCACCGATAACATGCACCACTCGGGCAACGGCACGCTCCTCGTCATCCCCCTGCGCTCCGACTCGGGCCAATGGACCTCGGGCCGCATCGAGTCCACGGCGACGTACACGCCGCAGGACAAAAAGATCACGCGGTTCCAGTCGCACCTCCGCTTCGGCGACAGCCCGCAGGACAAGCAGCAAGGCATCTGGCCGGCCTTCTGGACGCTGGGGGGTTCGTCGCGCGAGGGGGTGCCCTGGCCCGAGTGCGGCGAGCTGGACATCATGGAGCGCAAGAACGGCGAGCCCACGGGCCATGGCACGCCGCACTGCGGGCCGGGGGACAGTCCGTGTGGTGGGCTGACTAAGTCGGTCAAGCTGGCGGATAATGGCTGGCATACGTGGGCGATTGAGGTGGATAGGACGGATGGGGATTGGAAGAAGCAGACGATTCGCTGGTTGTTGGATGATAAGGAGTATAATAAGGTGAGTGGGGAGGATATGGAGAAGGAGGAGATTTGGAAGTCGGTCGCGCACTCGCCGCATTACTTTATTTTGAATGTGGCGGTGGGCGGAAACTGGTGAGTTTGTCCTTTTGGGGGGTTGATTGGTTTTGATCTTGAGGGAAGTTAAACTGACATGGTGAATTCTAGGCCTGGTCCCCCGAACGACAAGACGGCTGATGGCTTGGACAATGCGTTGGAGGTCAAGTACATCGCTGTGGGCTCCAAGTAGGAGCGATTATTTGTTTGTTGTGTTTCTGTTGTTGTTTTAGCGTTTCACTTCTTCTTTAGCGAGAAATTGGTTTCATTTTTATAGAGTGGTGTTAGAAAGCCATCCTATCCTATCCTCATTTCTCTGATACTGCCCCTTGATGATGATCAGAGTGAGCTTCCAACACCCTCGCCGGCCCATTCACCGAATCGCCCTTGAGTCGTTTCAGGGTTTCAACCAAGACCCCGCCCTCGGATGATGCTGTGCTAATGTCCGTGGTGTATTGTAACGCGATCTCGAGTAGGAGGACTACGCTTTGTTGCCCGAACAGCCCGGCTTTGGGTTGGAGGAGCGTGCCGAGGGATGCCGTGAGATTTCGAGCATGGTGCACCGGGTCTGTACGTGCAGGGAGGTCTGTCCCTGTCCCAGCAACTGACCGGAGGATGCTATACAAGACGAGGGAAGTGGTCCAATACAGACTCATGCCGTGGACTTGGGCGATGCGTATGGTAATGTCTTCTGCTCGGGGTTCTCGGCTGGGCTGCTTGCTGGGATTGGCGATCCGAGATAGCATACCGAGCCAAGCCAGAAGCTGTTGGTCGTGCTCCCAGCATTTTTGTTCGAGCTCGACTTGCAAACCCGTTCGTTTGGCCGCGTCATTGCAGAGCCTCATATTGTCGAATTCCTCAACAAGCTGAGGCATATCGACCAATACATCGACAAGAATGTCCTTGAAATCTTTGGGAACTTTCTGCCAGGGGATGCTTTTCCATTCTGGAGCGCCCAACACCAAACGCTTCCGTTGGAGGATGGCAGATAGTGCCTATGCCGTATGAGATCCCATATGAGACAACTTGAACTCGTTCACGCTCCAGAGAAGAGAAAACTCACCATCTCAACTCTTTCGTCAGAAAATATGTGATGTGCCTCACCTTCAATGTGTGCCGCGGGCGTCCTAGTGACAATTAAGGCAAGTTCCCCGGCATGATGGCGTTGCCAGTTCTGGACTCGATCGGCCATTGAGCCGTTCTCTTGCGTAGAGAAGGCCTGTGATGTGAGATATCAGCTAATGATCCCCGTTTTGGCTGTCACAGTGAGCAACACCACCATACCTCAAACATGCTCAGGAGCTTGATAGTTGCTATCAGCGTGCCCCTTCCCAGGCCCCGTGTCCCAGTCAACAAATTTCTCAGATTAGCGAGTGCCTCCCCATAGACCCTCGACCCCTCCCTGAGCATCCACACGGACCCGTGGCGTTTTCCGGTTACGAGAAGACAGTTAGCCCACAAGGCGTATCGAAGGCAGTCGTCCCCCCGATCAAAGTTCCGTGCCGTTTCCGTCCAGGTGCATGTGTAACTCCTAGCAGCACTGCTCGGGATAGGCTGCCCTGACGGGAAGTAGGCCTCCCAGAACTGGTTGATACACCTCCTCTCATCCTCTGGCCGTGCCAGCAGGCGGAGGTTGGTGATGTTGCTGGACACTTGGTTGCGCTGGATAATCCGCTGCCATGGAAAGCCAACCGAAGAAGGGGTAGAAGATGCGCTGTAACCCGCCTGCCGACTGCGCGGTGTGCTCACGACAAAGACCCGTTCGGCGGAGTAGCCCTCGCATATCAAGCCAGCCCTCTTGCACTGGCCACACGTTGGCCTCTCGAGATTGCACTAGGTAGTCAAGCTGTTAGTTACATGTAGCCCATCGATGGCTCAACTCCCCATTGACAAAATGCCCCGGACTGTGGTACCTCTGCCTAGATACTCACCCCCTTTCTCCGCTTCCGGCATGTGATGCAGCCCTTGGAACGAGGAACTCCCACCATGGCGTCTTGTACTCTCTGGGATGTGGAATTGCGCGCGAAATCAGGCTTCTTTGGGTAAGCAAAGGTGGAGAATGTTTTTGATGTCCGCTCCATCTCTTGATTTTCCCCTTTTTATCTGATACAGGCTTTGTTATGCCTCGTGGCTTTAGGTCACGTCTTTTCCCCGGCTCCTGGTCTCGGTATAGATCTGCCTCCATATCCCCGCGGGGTAATCACACCCAAGAGTCACCCCATAGTCGGGCAGTCTCGAATACCGAGTTGAACCTCTTCCGTCGCCTGGTGCTCTCCCGCCCGAACCGGGCTCCTTGGCAGAGGACGGAGATCGTTCCGGGCTCCTTCATCCACTAATGAGCAGAGCTGGGTAGCCCTCCGCACCGATACGCTAAACTGTAATAGGCCTCATTGCGCGCCGACCAATTGAAGATGCCCGGGTTTATTTCATGGGATCGCCCCGATGGACGGCCGCTCAACCACACGGTCGAGCCGACCTCAGCGCCGAGGAGAGCACGGAGGA